AAGGACTTCTCCCAAAGACAAGGACTTCTCCCAAAGACAAGGACTTCTCCCAAAGACAAGGACTTCTCCCAAAGACAAGGATTTCTCCCAAAGACAAGGACTTCTCCCAAAGACAAGGACTTCTCCCAAAGACAAGGACTTCTCCCAAAGACAAGGACTTCTCCCATAGACAAGGATTTCTCCCAAAGACAAGGATTTCTCCCAAAGACAACGATTTCTCAGGAAGGATTTTAACCGGGCCAATCAGCAAACAGAAGGAGTTTTGAACAATGACGTTGATTTCTGCACCATTTCAGTCTGTTTGGAGTTTAGTAATGGCAGCGGAGGAAGTGAATGAAGCCAGTAAATCAGATCCAGTCATTTTAAAACTTCAAATTGAGTCCACGCCTCCAGAAAGCAATCGCTTCTCAATAGTCATGGTTCCAGACCCTCTGTACGAAGCAAAGTGTAGAACAAAGGGCTGGTTTTTACCAGGCTGTTTATTGGATAAATCATTCTTTATATGGGTTAGGTATAAAAACCTTAAGTGTTTTTCTCTCCCTAAATGTAATTTTTCCAGATACCTTTAAGATTAACATGTCTGTTTTGACACCAATGAAAAGGTCTTATGTAAAAAGATCATTTTAATATTAGCCCTTAATGTATTGATGCATAGCTTGAAGGAATGCATACTGCTCATTATGTTGATTAGCTGTGGCAACCAGCTTGAGATGTACATTTAATGGTTCCTTTTCTGTAGTTTCAATAAAATCTGGTAAGTTGTTTATGACATATTATGGACAGAGTCAAACACAGTCTGCCTTGGCAAAAACAAGGTGGATAGCTTGCCTTCATAAACTCTTGAAAGGAAATGCAGTTATCTCCATTTGTGTCAGCCTCTTGAATGGTCCTATCAGCAATACTCCCAAGCTGTTCATCTGAAATGTTTACCCCAACCATCATCCGCAAGACCTGAAAGGAACAAATAAATACCAGTGAACAAGGTGCCCAATGTTTACCCCAACAATATTTTGGAAACGGGGTTAATGAAACATTGTATTGCAGCAACACATGACCATTTGTAGTTATTCTGGTTTTTACCAAGTGACTGTATGAATTTCAAGTTTGTAAATAACAGGGCAGATGTATTTAGTGGAGGGTAAATCACACACAAACAGTACATGGAGTAGCACATTAAATTACAGGCTCGTGAATCAGATGAAGCAGGTGACACATGACTGTTTTGGGCAAAACAAGGCATTTATGCGAGTCATTTACCCAGCAGACCAATTACAGGTCACACAATGTCACTTCAAACCAAGGTGGCTTCACAAAGGGACAACAAATAACACAGAGGGAGACAAAATACAAGACTGGAAACTGCTTAGGAAAGATCAGCCTGTAGTTAAAGGCGAGATATGGCATCATTATCAGCTCAGGTCCAAAGTCTCTCCATCAATTTAATTTCAGGTCTATGTGCTTAAAACAAAAGTTGCATAACTATTTTTGTAACCATCTGTTTTTATTCAGTTACAATCTTTCCTAGATAATGACTTGTTTTAAAAATGTCAGTCTGGTTTCAGACCCCGTCAGAGCACTGAGTCTGCACTGCTTAAAGTCCAGAATGATATTCTGTTGTCTCGATGCAAAAAAAAAAAAAAAAAAACTTGTCCTGCTGGTGATGTTGGACCTTTCAGCAGCTTTTGACACTGTGGACCATCTGGTCCTCATCATTCGTCTGGCTCAGCAGGTTGGCCTTCAGGGAGTTGTGCTTGAGTGGTTTAAGTTTTATTTAACAGGCAGAACTTTTTCTGTCACAATAGGTGATCTGTCTTCTTCTTCTTCAAGCCCTCTGACCTCTGGCGTACCGCAGGGATCCATTCTGGGCCCAGTTCTCTTCTTATTGCCATTAGGACCTACTATTGCACGTCATAACTTTTCTTTTCATCTATATGCAGATGATTTGCAAATCTATCTGTCAATCACTCCAAATTCCTCTCTTAGTCTAAATTCCATTGTCAGCTGTTTAACTGATATCAAACACTGGCTATATCTGAAAATTTCCTCTACTTAAATAATGATAAAACTGAATGGATTCTGTTTGATGCTTCCAGTAACTTCTCTAACATCTCTCACAGTCTAGGTCTTCCACTCTCTCACTTCAACCAGGTGGTAAAAAAGTTTCACTCACCAGGTGGAGTGAAACTTGACTGCAACTTGAAGCTTGTTTAATTTTGGTGGATCGCCATGCATCAGAGAAGGGCAGTAATGAGGGAAATTTACCTGAGTACTGTGCTTAAGTACAAATTTAGAGAATTTGTACTTTACTTTAGTATTTTTATTAAAAACGTTTTAAATAAGACTAACGCATCATTATTATATGAAGTTACTGATCTGTCCAACACAGCAGAAAATGTTCCCAGTGTTTCTCCACTACACTCAAGTGAAAGGCATTGTTAAAAAATATTCAATACCTTCAGTACTTAAGTTATTTTTGAAAGCACAAACTCCAGTGATAACTTGACAGAGCTACTTTTACTTTTACTGGAGTAATATTTGAACGGTAGTATCAGTACTTTGTCCCCATTAAGGAAACTGAGTATTACCACTGAAGTGAGTTGACTACTAAAGTTGTGGATGTTCGTGCACTGCCTGTTTTCTGAGAGCTTCATTACAATCTGTTCTGTGAAACATAAGATATTTTGTCAAAAGTACAGATGAACACACAGACACCAACAACAACATAATGGCCTCCTGCTCTCTGTGGCAGGCTACAACATCTGATAACAGAGTACCTGAACGAGAGTTTAATTCAGTAAAAATAAAGAAACTGTTGTGACTTCACACAAACAAAAATACTCACCTGCAGCAGCTCATCCCGAGAGATTTTATCATCTCTGTCCAGGTCATAAAGACGGAAAGCAACTGAGAGAAAGAAAAAACAATCACATCAGGCACGAGTATGGATCTGATCCGATCAGAACCAGACAGGTTCTGTAAGGATCTGATCGGATCAGAACCAGACAGGTTCTGTAAGGATCTGATCGGATCAGAACCAGACAGGTTCTGTAAGGACCTGATCGGATCAGAACCAGACAGGTTCCTTAAGGACCTGATCCGATCAGAACCAGACAGGTTCTGTAAGGATCTGATCGGATCAGAACCAGACAGGTTCTGTAAGGATCTGATCGGATCAGAACCAGAC